TTTTTTTTTTCCCTGTTCATTGTCCAAAGGCAATTAAGTGCTAAATACATATAAACCCATACACATATATGGACACACATACATACAACCCAACACACAGTGTTGTGGTTCTATAGACCGGTCTCTCAAGGCAGTCCCTGAGCTGTTCTATTGTAATGTTATGGTTATAATTTGAGGACTTTTTTTTTTTCGTGGTATGATTTAATTACCTCATGATTGTAAATAGAGGTGAAACACAGAGTGAATAATACCAGTTTTCCTATTCATTTGGGTAGGATTTTAAGTGGCTAGCTTTTTGCACATATTCTATGGGTCAAAAATGTCTTACAACCATTGTGAAAAAATTGATGCTATTGAATCTCATGATTGTTTCTTCAAGTCATGGCTCCAAGGGAGAAACTTTAGGGGACTTTAAGTAGCAGTCAGTCAAAAACATGAAATCTATTTCCCTTACTCCTATAAGGAAAGAAAGTATTGGTTGTAAAATACCTGATGCTTTTCTACATATGTTTAGGCACGTATTAGTTAACTTAGGAATAGTGTTGTATTTGGAGGCCTAGAAGAAACAGTGCATTCCTTGGGATATGTTAGGGTTATCAAATGTCTTGATTAGAAGGGATGCGGGGTCCCTTCTGACTTTAATTTTTTTAAATAATGTTTTAATGTTTATTTATTTTTGAGAGACAGAGAGGGATACAGAGAGAGAGGAAGTGGCAGAAAAAAAATGGAGACACAGAATCCAAAGCAGGCTCTAGGCAGTGAGTTGTCAGCACAGAGCCCTATGCGGGGCTTGAACCCAAGAGCTGTGAGATCATGACCTGAGCTGACGTCAGATTCTTAACTAACTGAGCTACCCAGAAGCCCCTGATTTTAATATATACTTTTACTACTTACTTTTCAAAATGAGATGATGATTGCCATCTCCTATCTCTTTTGCTTGGTTCATTACTCTTACTATGTTATTTTCCTTGCAAATGGAAAACCAAAATGGTATTTTGGATATCAGTGTGCTAGTTCTTTAGAGAAAGGAGGTGTGTGTGTGTGTGTGTGTGTGTGTGTGTGTGTGTGTGTGTGATTTGTTTTTTATTATGTCATTTGGGAGGAAGTTAGGCATTCATGATGTTATGATTATTTTAGCACCAACAAGTCCTTTTAATCTGTAATGCTAGAAATATTTAATAGAGGCCTATTGTATAAGTGTCTTATATGGGGAAAACATAGTTTTAACCATACGTAGGTAAACTTATTGAGGCAAAGACTTAGGGCCTGTTTCCAGATCTCATTGGCATTGTTTTAAAATAAAACTTGTGAAATACCAGTTTTTTCCCCTTCACCAGGCCAGCCACTTCTGGCCCTGTAATCGCATACACTCTTATGATTGGTTAATTATAACCACCAGTCAAAAGCATTTTGACTTACTGTTTTGGTGGAAAGAAAAAGGAATTGAGTAAGAATTTTACACCTTTCCTGATACCGAATCATAATATAGGTCTTCAGATTTCATTTTCCAGACCTCCAAATAACTGACCATTTTAAAATTAAGACCGATTTTACTTGTTTTTCAGACCATGTGGATGAGCGAACAGTATGTAATGGAATTGCCCCTGAAAAAGATGTAGATGGATTTCATATTATCAATATTGGAAGACTGTGCCTTGACCAGAATTCTCTCATACCGGCCACTGCCAGTGCTGTTTGGGAAATAATCAAAAGAACAGGTTGGTAATTTGTGGTCTGCAGGATGGGGGTGCTGAATGCCAAACTGAACACATGTACATTGCCTTGCTGGAAACATCTCCATCCTACTGAGTAAAAGAAAATGATCAGCTATAAAACATCGGTGTAGAGAAACTTATAAAGTGACAAAAGTAAAAAAAAAAACAAATCTAAAATAAATAAAATGAGAGATGTGTCAGGTTATAGGTAACTGTTGTTGCCCCTTTGGGGCATGAATTTTTCAACTAGTAGGTTTGTCTCCCTGCTTTTAAATTGTAAACTTAATGTATTTTGGTGGACACTTTCCAAAATGAGTTCTGTGTGTCCTTACTTTTAGAAACAAAATTTGATGAAAATATATGAGCCATCTCTAATGCCCTACGTTTTTACTATAGACATTTACATTTGATTTGTGCTCTAAATACAGTGATACTCTCTTGGGCCCTTGAGGTGTATAGAGGTATTTACCGCTATGTTAAGCAAGACCAAATTGCCCTTATGTTTGTAATTGCCCCACCTCCATCTCTGTCCCTTCCATTTCTGACAGCATCTTCTCCTTTCTAACCTACTATTTAACCTGAAAATTTCCAAGAGAAAGCAGATCCTAGAACCACCCTCTTAGGGCATTAGTACTTGTGAAAACTTTAATTCCAACTGCTTCATTGTATTTATGAAGAAACCAACCCCAAGGAGGTAGAGTGCATTGTATCTGCAGGTTGTGTCTTTCATCCTTTCCGGGTCCCTGAAAGTTCAGCAGCTCTCTAGGGGGTAAAGTGCATGAACTTTGTAAAAAATATGCTTTTTCCCACCTCATTTTGTTCCAGATTCACTGAAAGTCTGATTGCCAGTTAAGCTTGCCATTGTCGTACTTTGCTTACTTCATAATTAGTAGTTAATATAGAGTAAGTCTTTGCATGTCTAAATCTTCACATGAATCTGTGTTTTAAAAGTAATTTAATGGCAACTTGAAAATGTAGTTTTTTAATGAGGGCAATTACAGAGGAAGTGACAAATCCGAGAGGCATAAAAAGAATATTTATAAATAATGAATGTGGGCACATTATAGACAAGCCACACAGTAATTCAAATTTAATTAGAAGTTTTTAAAGAATGTTTCAGTTGGCTGTTCACATGTTTAATTTGCTTCTTGTTGTTGATTCTTCATTTAAATCAAACTCTGTGTTTTAAGGGATTGAAACATTTGGGAAAAATGTGGTTGTAGCTGGAAGATCCAAGAATGTAGGGATGCCCATTGCCATGCTTTTACACACTGATGGAGAGCACGAACGGCCAGGAGGTAGGTAGGACCTTGGAGATTCTGTGTACTCTTATAATTTTCTTCATTCTTAAAATCATCAAGTAAGGATGTTTGAAAATGTGATTTGGCATATTTGTGGATTTATGCAGATAAAATCTCCCCTTATTCTTCATCCAGTGACGTGAGCATCTTGAAAGTGAATAAAAGGATTGCTAGACATATATGGCCCCTTTGTTCCTATTACTACTATTATTTTGGCCTTATATACTTTCTTTAAATAACTGATAATATAAACATTAAGAAAAGTGGAAAGCCACTAGATACATAACAATCACATGCTGATAGCCTTCTGCTGCCTCACGCGTGTGCGTGTGCACACACACACACACACACACACAGTCTGCATCTTTAGGGTTCAATGTACAAATATATAGATTATTTCTCATTGTTAACCTTGGTGAATTCCACTTTCTTGACCTTAAATTTTTAAAGATTTCTTTTATGATCTTTGTTGTCATAAGGCATATGAAATAATTTTTTAAGCCACAATGCCCTATGGAAAAAGAAGCCTAGTGATATTGCATCATTTATCTAAAATGATGATTGATGAGACTTTTGAATATTACTTTTCCTTCCTGGGCCTAAGCATTTAAATATCGCCACAAATCAAAATGGGTATCGGGATCATAGTAAATTAGGGCCTGATAATGACTCCAGGTAAGTTTAAAACCCTTGGTTTCAAGAAACTCTTGGAAAGGCCAAATCTAGTAGTGTGAACATCATTTTTGTGGTGAACGCCTACAATTCTAGTGTTACTATTCACTTGTAACTTAATCTGCTAGTGCTTATCCATCTGTCTCTTAGGTATAATAAAGATATTGATTCATATTGGCCTTTATGCAATTGTTTCTAGGTTAAACAAGGTAAACCAACCAGAAGTTTTTACCTGGGTATACCATTTTTGTTGGAAAATTGTGAGTCTGTGTCGATACATGGAGTTTTTTTCTTCCTTTTCACCACTTTATTTTCCAATCTCATCAATAACATAACAATCAGCGTTATGTTTTTCCACGACTCGTATGGTACTTTCTAATAAACTGTCTTATTTCATTCTCAGTAATTTTGGCATATATTAATAGTATTTGCATTTTGCAGCTAAAAGAAATGAGCTTTAGAGACTTCAGGTGACCTGCCCAAGGCCACTCAAGAAGTAGTGAATCCGGAGCAGGGAGCTGGGAGCTGGGTGCTGTCCGGGTTTGAGAGGATGTACTTGGAGTCAGATCCCTCTCCTGCCATATGCTCTGTATCCTTGGACGAGACATGTAATCCATGCAAGTCTCCACTTTTCACATCTGCAAAGTGCAAATAATATTAATATCTCTTTCACTGGGTCATTGTGAATTTTAGATGAGGTAAGAATGGAAAGCTCTAATTACATTGCCTGACACAATAAGTTAAGTAAGATCTTGCTTGGTCCATGTGGACTGTGGCTATTACTATTTCCGTTATGTGCTTAATTTAATAATCTGTGACCATACTAACTATAGAGTTTAGAGTAATATGATCCAAGGTTAATGTATTTTTCACCTTCATTTGAAATTTTATTGTATTTTTCTGGTGGGATTTATGTTTGCCTTTTGTTTTTGGATCAAATCTAGTCTTTGTTGTACTAATCTGTATAAACATAGAATTTATAAAGTCTATAAAGTATTTGATTAGAAACATGACATCATAATACTCCAAATCATATAGTTCATTGCATTTTTTCTCTTAGATATCAATATATTACATGCTGCTTTCTGGATAAATTTCCATTTTGAATTACTTATTTGTCTATAAAATTAAGTCTATGAAAATCAATTTATCCCTTCTTTATGCAATTTTAAATTGGACATCAGTATGTCCTAGTACATACTAACTTCATAAATATTTTACACTTTGTGTTTTAAAATATTCTCACTTGAATGCATGTTAAAAATTGAATAAAAGTGGAATTGGTTATAATACCGGTTACTTACAAGCCAGGTAGTTAAATTTACATTTCTCATAGCAGCACCTAAGTGCCGTTATAATTACAGTATCCAAAAAGTAATAAATTGTATTAAAAATGATGTTGGGCAGTTTGCAACATGGGTGTTGTTTAATCTCATGCATATTTAATAGGAGTATGGTAACATATATGATTAATATAATGAATTGTTGAGAGCTGCTTACTGAAGATTTGGAGTCTGTGGGAAAGTTAATATTTCAAACGTCCCTGTCTGTTAGAGCAGTAATTATGTGCGGTGACTACAAGTGCATTGTTAGCTAATGGAGATAATGAAGGGGGATTAACTCGGCAAATTCATATCTATAGAGCTGTTCTGATGACACTCACAGTGTTGAGCATTCAGCTCACACTGTATTTCTTTGCCAGAAGAGATTCAGAACCCTAATGATTCATTTGTGTCTTAAAGCCAACGATAATTGTCCTGGAAGAAAAATGGCCATACTGTAATTTAACTTGATTAATATGTGTCTACTCTTGGCTAGCTTTCAGTCTTGATCATGTGGGACATAAATCCCAGCTGTTTGGTGAGAAAAAACTTCTTTTAATTCCTCAAGGGCTTGGAATATTTAGACGGAGAATGGCTTGGAATATTTAGACGGAGAATGCGCTACAATCTTGGGGTAAAGGGTAGTGTTGATGCTCAACACAGCAGGATGCTGCAGGGACATTACCTTCTGCTGAGGACATGTTATCACAGAGGACATGGCATCTGAGGTGCTCTGTAGTTTATAGAGAGTGGGTGAGAGATGGTTCCTGTCCTTCAGGATCTTATAGTCTTGGTACTAACAGGGGGTGTAGATACAGAGGTGCATGATACACAAGTTGTTTTAAATTGTCAATATTCAATGGCACAAAATAAAATTTGGCATCTCTAAGCAAACATTCCATTTGCTTAGGAAAGCCTATGGTTAATTGAAGGGGCATAAAGATACTGACAATGGACAATCTCTTCTCAGGAACTCCACTACTTATAAGGATGCTTAAGTGCCATTGCGACCGCCTGTAGGTCACTGCGTGTTCTTTTAACTTCTTTGTGCGTAGTAACCTACCCCGTTTCACCTTCTTTCAGAATGAAAACTGATTACCATTGGTCTCAACCCAGCGTCTTGATTTTTAGCTTTACGGTGAGGAAGTGAGAGAGAAGTTCTTCAGTTCTGCTAAAACAGAAACTCCTTCAAGATAACAAAGCACCCTAGTGACCAGGTGTTAAGATGATTAACTTGTCGCCAAAAGAATGCAGAACTGGATTTTATTTCAACATTTTTTAGGGTAAATTTCTTTCTGCATATTTTCAATTCTTATGTAGGACATCTCATCCAAACAGATCCCCCCAAATGCCCACAGCATGGGCTCACATGCTTCTCCTTTAACTGAAAGGTTGTGGTGTCACTTCAGTGCCTGCATTGGTGCAGGGACCTTTTCAAAGAGCATTTCGAAAGAATCAGCCCTGCTTAGAGTCCTGTGGGCCCAGAGATCTTCTTGATTTCATTCAGGCAATACGCATTCAGTTCTCAATTCTCTGTGAAACGCTGTGGGGAACAGTGGTAGAAAAGACTTAGTTCTCTGGTTTCTGGAAGACGACAGTTTGCATCCTTAGGGCTCCTCTTCCAAAAGAAAACTGTGTTTTCTCAAAGCACTGCTTCCACATTGGTGTTCAGTGTTTGAATTCACGTCGTCCTTGTGCTGCAACTTTCCGTGCCTCGGGTATAATTGTCATGCAAGGCGCCTCCTACCTGAGTAGAAAACCAGAAGACCTTTTGCCAAGAGAATGCCCTTCCTTTGGGAAGATTGGCTCTCGTTGTGAGAATGAACATTTTTGCCAGACTGGGAGCGTTATCTCTCACATACAGGAGTGCTTTCAGGCAGTAATACAGGAGTGGATGTTCCAGGTGGTGCAGCCGGAACATACTATGAGTGGTATGCATCACTAAGCTCAGTCCAGTGCCAGGTTGGGCCAGGCACTCCCGGGTTTCAAAGAGAAGAGCCATACAGGAACACCTAGGAATGCAGGAGTCATACAAAGGATCACACCGCACAGAGTGAGACTCTAAGTCTTGTCAGCAGCAGAGTAGAGCAAGGTGCTCCCTATCTCTGTGGAATGAACTATTGTCAAACTGGGGCAGGGAGAATGGCAGGCATTCTCTGTTCCTCCCGTCCCACTACCCCTGAGTTAGAAACACCCATGGTAAGCTATTGGAGATATACTATGTCTTGTGCTGCCTCTGTGTTGTTTAGGCTTGACTGAATTCCAGCATTGTGCTTGCCCAGTGGAAAGCCATAGAAAAAAAGATGCTTCTTCTAGTCTCCTTTCCTTCTTTTTTTAAAAAGTTTGTTTATTTTTGGAGAGAGAGAGAAACAGAGAGAGTGAGTGTGAGGGGTGAGGGGCGGGGGGGGGGGGGGAGAGGATCCCAAGCAGGCCACGTTGTCAGCCCAGAGGTTGATGTGGGGCTCAATCTTGTGAACTGTGAAATCATGACCTGAGCCGAAATCAGGAGTCGACGCCTCATCCACTGAGCCACCCAGGTAACCCCTAGTCTCCTTTTCTAAGCTGAATAATGAGAGTACTGTTTCATTTTTAATATCTCCTTAACTCAGCCAGCTCTTATATGGAAAGCACTGTATTTGGAAAATGTCATGTGTTCTTTTTTTGTTTTGTTTTGTTTTAGCGTTTATTTATATTTGAGAGACAGAGGGAGACAGAGCATGAGCAGGGGAGGGGCACAGAAAGAGAGACACGCACAGAGAATCCAAAGTAGGCTTGGGCTCTGAGCTGTCAGTGCAGAGCCCTACGTGGGGCTCAAACTCACGCTTAACCGACTGAGCCACCCAGGCGCGCCTGGAAAATATCATGTATTCTGATATCGGACAGTTGGGACAGTTACACTCTTGCAACTAACATTAAACATTATTTAAAATGTAAAGTGGCGTCCCAAACTTTCTCTTTCCCTTTCATTTTTCTCTCTTTCCCCATGACTTCAGAGTATGAGAC